CAATTCATTTAAATTTTAAACATTTGTGTTTATTGCAATTTGTTTAATTTTTATTTGCATTTCAAGTCGAAAATTTCAATGTAAAGTGATCGATAAAAGGAGATAATACTTGCAGAGGATACAAATGAAATTTTAATCATTTTTGAAAATTTATTTAGAATTTTATGAAAAATGTCCATTAAATATTTTATTGCCATTTTCTCCTACTCGTTCTATTTGACTGCCACTTTATTTGTATCATTCGGAGAAAAAGGTTTGTCCTGGTGTTGGTATTCAGAAGAAAAAAAACTCAACAAATTGCGCTATATTTAAATTACATTGAAATTGGATTTGGATTGCGAATTCACCTAAACAATACATTTTAATTTCATTTTAAACCTAAGAATTTTTTTTTCTTCTTTTTTTTATACAAGCGCAGACAAAGCAGCAGTTTATTTATGCCTTTCAACAGCAATACACAACGTTTCACTTATCATTTGACACAAATAAATTAGATTAAAGTGCGACAGAATAAAATGCCAACTTGGATATCTAAACATATAGAGATCTAAATAGAAAAATATATGTGTTTGCTTCCATATTTTCGTGTTGAAAATTTGGAGGAATGCCCAATGAAAGCAACGAATAATGCTAATTTAAACAAAATGAGGGCTCGAAGGATGTTCTCAATAATGAGTTTGACTACAAGACAAGCAGGCAAAATGTATTTATTCCGACAGAAAAAAAAAACACCATCCAAAATGGTAGGATGGCAAGGTGATGAACACAAAATTGGGGAAGGACCAAAATAAAACAAAACATTTCATTTAATTGTCGATTACAATAGATAATTCTGATTTTATTTATCGTTTGAATTATATAGATTTTTGTGTGTGTGTATGTTGATGTTGCTTTGATTTGAATGCATCAAAATTCGTGTACAGGCAGAAAATTTAAAAAAAAGAACATTTACCAATCAAACAAATATTTTAATATATCTAAATCGTACGTAGTAGTTTTTTTCATTTTTGTATTTATGCTAAATTTAACCTTATTAGATGAATATTTTTTGAAAACGGTTTGTTTTGTTGCGGTTTTTCTGTAGAGTGTTGTGGTTCGCCGATGCTGTGTTGTGATCGCAATGGGAATTGTCACTGGTTTTTTTTTCGGTCACACTGAGTGTTTTCCGCATCATTTTTGGGCGATTTCAATTTATTTCTCTAAATTTTTTAATTTAGCTTAACACATAAAAATGCGTGTGTAAATTAACTGCACTCAAATTCTGTTCTGCAATTGTATTAAAAATAAATTTTCCCTTCGCAGTGTAAAGTTTGGACTTAGCGTTTATTTCTCACTTTTTTTTTGTTTCTTTGTATAATGAACAACAAAAGAAGACATAGTTTCAAAGGAAATTATGAAGATATTTTGTTCTTACTCTCGTAAAGTACATTTTTCTTTGCATAAATAAATGAAGCTCTTTAATTCGCTAAAACGGATGCGTTATGAAAAATAAAACGGACAGAAAAAACATAATAAAATTGATGGAAAGAAGTAATAGGAAAAATAGAACAAATTATAACTCGAATAATGTAATTAAAATTGCGATAATCATAGTTGTATAGGAATAAAATGGTTTTTCTTTTTTTCTTCGATTGTTCCTTTTGTGTTTTAATTTGCTTTCAAATCAATTTAGAGTTGTTGATTTTGTTTTGCTACATTAACAATATTTTTTGCGTACTTTTTTATTTGTTTATTTTTATTCATAAAAATTCTAAAGCTGGATCGCAACGCAAGGCCCATGTTTTTTTTGTGTTTGTTTAAAGTTTTCTTTAAGACAGAAAATATCATAGATTTTTATGTTTTTTTGTTTTTTTTTTTGTAAATTTGTCTGTAATTGAGTGTGTCTGTGTAAAATGTTGTGTGCTCGAGGACGATGAATTTGAATAGTTTGTTTAACTGAAAATGACAAAAAAGAGAAATTTTTTGGAATCGGTCAAAAATAATTCGCTTGGCAGTAGAGTGCATTTTTTATAACTTAATTTTGAATAGGTAAATAAAATCGTTTTTTGTTTTGTTTTTTAGCAAATCAATTTTTAAACACCAATCTAAAATACAAATACACTTTTTGTACGAACTGAACAGAAAAAAAACGAAAACACATTGGCAGAAAACGTCTTAAATTAAACAAATAAACCAAAAAAA